CAGTGTAGTTTTGTTATAAGGTTGATGAGATGCCATAGGAATGTAATTCTTGTTTATATCAATTAGCCTATGGTAAAATTGGTCTTGTTATAGGTAGTATTGCTTAAATTCACAAAACCTATCAACAGTGTTATCGAGGACTTACTATACAAGTTTTTGGGTGGATGCATGTTTTCATTTCTCTTAAGGTATATCTAGGAGTGGAATTCCTGGATCATACGGCAACCTTTTGAGGAACTGCCAAGGTTTCTTCCAAAGTAGCCACACCATTTTATAATCTCATCAATAGTATATGGGGGTTCCAATTTCTCCATATCTTCACCAAAATCTGCTGTCACTGTCCTTTTGATTACAGCCATCCTAGTGGGTATGAAGTGATATTTCTTCCACTTTTTAAACTCAAATATTCTTTAAAAGCTGTTTTTTTAATTCCCCATTCCCCACTATACAATACTAAGGTCAGAGTAATGTCAGCATATCCATAGATTTTTATGTGTGAGTTGTTTTGAAATTTAGGATGTTTCTGGCTTCTTGTATATGTTTGGTAAAGGATACTCAAACTTTTCTAGTAATCTAAGGAAATCAATCTTATAACAAACCCATTTATTCCATTTGAACTGAAATACAAAACATTGAAATTATAACCAAAGTTCATTTCACTATCAGAAATATTAATGAACTGTGAAATAGCTTTTTAAAAAATTTTAAGTTAAAACTTTTTTCTTAGTCATCTAATGATTCTACTCTACACTCCACTGTTGTGCTCGCTTAAGAGTAAAAAGTTACTTAATAATGAAACATTATTAAACCTTTCAAAAACTGTCCCCTAAGCTACTAGCAAATAAACAGATGAGTATAAAATTAGGTCTTGAAAGAGGAATAAACTCCAAAGAACTCAATATCTTCCAACCTTTAGTCAAAATGTTGTAATCAAACCAACAATTTTAACGACATAATTCTGACAATTTGTTGATAGAAAACAATCTAAATTAAGTATCAAGAAATTTCACTAACCTGGCATTTTCCTCTTCTGGCCTTTCAACTTCATTTTCATCTACCAAAAAAAATACATAAATAAATAAATAAAATTAACAAACCACTCTTAAACTAGTATTATGAAAATCTGAAGTGATCATCACAAGCACTAACCTAGGTCCTTTGCCAAATCACTGTGCACATGCACGTCCCATGGGCCTATAAGCACATCCAAAGTTAGATCACCTTATAATGACTTAACAAGATTGCCTTTTATGAAAAAAATCAGCCTTTACTTCTTATAAAAATAAATTTGATATGAAAGACCTCTAGATCTTTGCAAAAAAAAAAACCCTACATATTTACGTTTCGAAGAGTATTACTAATGCTAAATCTTGCCACCAAAGATACTGAATTTATTTTACAAGTTTATCAAAATCAAAGTTTGTCAAAGTCACATCATCAAAGAGGTGCATGGTGGCCAAATACGTACTTTTACTATACCATTCTAAAGAAAAAAATACACATTTTGGGCAAGGAACAAATATTAACTTTCAAATCTAATATCGGAAACAGGCAAGAAGGGGCTGACTTAATAAAAGTTAAAAAAAGATTTCTAAACAAGTCCCTTTCAAAAAGTACAAGATGAACTAAATTTCTTTAAAGAGACGATACTGAAAAACTGTAAGCCTAAAGGACATGTGGTACTTCTATGACGTAGGTTAAAGAGCAGTCTCTTAAATTAAAAAGAGTTCACCTTATTACAGAGACATGCGGGGTTTTCTTTATGGGCCATAATGTATTCCATCTCTTCCTCTTTTAATTATTTTTAAAGCACAACTTTCAGACAAGGAAGTACCCTTGCAGGTGCATTCCATACAAATTGACCATCAAGAAACAAGACGTTAGTTTTATGGCATCAACTTTATTTATCTATTTTTACAGAATGACTGCTTCTGAAAGAAAGGGACAGAAAGAGGATCCTACAGCCAAGGGGCAAGAAGCAGCACATGAACACTGCTTAGAATCGATATAAAAAACAAGAGCAATGAGCGCGAAGGCCAGGCGGCCGAGAAGCCGCGGCAAGGAGGAGGGAGAGGATGGGGGCCAAGCCCCGTGCCAGCGACCGGGGTTGGACCCCGCCGCCGCAGGATGGGTGCGAGTTGGGGTTGTGGGCAGGGCGTGAGGCCGAGGGGGGCGGGGAGGCGCGCACAACGCGCTCAGCCTGACTTAGGCCGGACTAGGATCCGTACGAGAGGCCCCAAGCGGCGGCGTGAAGGGCCCGGGACGCCGACCGATTGCAAGCCGGGAGGGGAGGCTTGAGAGAACCCGGGAAAGAGAGAAGGGACAGGAAGTTCCGTACCGCCATAGAGCCACTCTTCCTCCTCATCCCCTCCGGTCCCGCCGCTCAGCTCCGACACTAGGCGCTCAACCTCGCCGGCCGACATGGCCGCCCCGAGCACAACTTAAAGGCTGCAGTCAACAGCCCCCTCCAACCCCTTCCCCAGCTTCACCGCCCGAAGGTGCGAGAGGGGCGCAAACCCGCCAGCGAGCAAACGAAGAAAGCGCGAGACTCAAAGCCACCGGGAAGATCCGCGGCAGCCGCGGCGGCGGCAAAGAAGTCTCAGACGCCGGCACGCCTGCGCAGGCGCAGCAGCAGCCAAGCGGCGCGGCGTCCCTAGGTGGATTCGCTTCCGCGGCGGCGACCTCCTGGGCCTACCTGCGCATGCGTATCGTAGTTGGCCCCCGCCCCCACAGAATCCCGCTTTGCCATTTTAGCGTTGATTTTTCTCTTGGCGTTCAGAGTAAATTGGGGTTCCCCTCCCCCATCCTTCTCTCTAATAACTCCGGATTGATCTTGCGTGCGAGTGCTCCATTGTTCCCGTCTGCCCTTGATACTTTCTTTTCTCAACCTTTTTTTGTCTTTTAGTCTTCCGAAAGGCCTTATTTTCTCTACAGGTTGTATCAACTTTGATACAGTATCATTCCCTAGCAATCCCGTTTCTCATTAGAGAAGAAATCACAATTCCTTTCTTAAGAAATTCATTTTTTATTAGTAGAAATAAATATTTTTACACAGAAATAAACAAAAAGAGAAAAAAATTAACTTTAACAGCTAACGGAAGCAAAACTAATAAATGAGTAATACATTCTCCTTGCATTATAGTTATAGTTAAGGTCAAAGAGCCTCCCCCGCCCCCCATCCACTACGCTCCTTTCTAGAGGTAACCCTTGTTATTTGGTGTGAATCTTTGTGAAACGTTATATACATTAACTTCAGGTGAATTGTACTGTTTTGGAGAAACTGAGGTTAACTAATCTTAAGGGATACAGTACTGTATGTATGTATCTGCGTATTGCTTTTCTTTTTTGACTCAATAGTATCTTACAGATCCTTTCATGTTAGTACATAAAAAATTGTCCATTTTTTAGTGCTTTATGGTATTCCATATTATTGCTCTCATAAAGTGAATATGGCTATTCGTTGGTGTACAGTTAGATTGCTTTCAACTTTTCACTTTAACTCACAAAAACCCTACAATGAAGATCCTTGTCCATGACTTCCTGCAAATTTTACAAGTGTTTCTCCAAGATAGAGCATAAAGTGTGTATAGTTTTTATTTCAATAGATTGTGCCAAATTTTGAGGCCACTTTTGAGAACACATCTTTCAAGAACATGACACATGATGGGTTAAAACTGGTATTCTAGTTATTAACTATATTAAGTATAAGTACCTAGTTGCATGACCTCAGGCCATCAACCTGCTTCAGTTTTCTCATTCATAAAATAAAGCTGAATTAGATGATTTTTAAAGTCCCTTTCGGTTCTAATGTTTTCAGACAGGACACTTCACTTTTCAACAGAAATTCATTTTAGTTTTAAAAATCAATACGTTTATAAACAATCAACATTTATTTATTTACTTAACGATTATTGAATATCTGCTGTTTAAGAACTTGGAAAGTAAAGGTATGAGTAAAACATAGTCCCTGCCCTCAAGGAGCTCTCTATTGCGAAAGGCTGGTAAACAATTAACTCTCCTACGAAGGAAAAGGTGGATATTCTACAACAGAAGCTAAAGTGTTTACATCCAGCAATATGATGTCATTTGTGTTATTTAAACAGATCATGTGGTTTCAATCCCCTTTACCTTCGTATAGTCTTGTACTGACTATTCCCAGTCTCCCTTATCCATTTAGGATAATCCCTTACATCCTTCTGAACTCTGTTGAGGTATAATCAACTTTTTGAAATCTTTCCTGAATTCTATTTTATCTCCTCCCATTTATTTATTCAATAAATATTTATGGAGGGTCTACCAAGTGTCAGGAACTCTTCTAGGCTATGTAGATTTAGCAGTGAGCAAAACAAAGCCTCCTTTCATGAAGCTCTCATTCTGAGACAGCTACTAAACCTAAGTGTATAGTATGTCAAGTGGTGATAAGGATTAGAAAGAAAAGTAGTAGGATAGGAGGACCGAGAGAGGACCCAAGAGGGATAGATCTTGGCTTTTACTGACAGTAAGAGAATGAAGGTTTTACATTCTGCTTGGGAGTATCATAAGGTAATCACTTATAATCTTGTCTATTTATCTTTCCGTTTATCATTCCATGAGCTTATAATGAACTTTGGTGGTTTCATGAGAGAACCAATTGCCTTTTATTGAGGAGCCTCTTTCTCCTTTCAGCTGCTTGAAATGAGCCTGTCTTTCAATGCATTACTTAAACTGAACTGAAGAAATTCTGAATAATGATGCATCAGAATTGCCTTCATAGTGGAGGTAGCATTTGTGTTAAGCTTTGAAAAGGAAGATTTCTGCAAGCAGAGAAGCCCATAAATCCCTAATAACCAGTCTTAAGAGGCCTCTTCTTTCCTTCCAAATTGTGTTCCTTCCCTGGGTAAGCTTCCTTAGTTAAATTTGTCTTTATCCCCGTACTCACCAGGGGAGAGTCCAAAGATAGGTAGCTTGAAGATATCTATAAAATTATGACCTCATCAAATTACAATACTCCATATATTCTGATTATATTTGTTTTCCATTTTATTGGGTTTGTGTGTGTGTGTGTGTGTGTGTGTGTGTGTGTGTGTGTGATCTGTTGGTTCTTGGCAAACAACAATAACAAAGCAACAGTTTTAATATATCTCTGAGAAATACTGAAAGGAAATGCTTGGTAGACGATGGTTAAAATGATGAGTTAAAGATTTAATAACAGTGCTTTGCTCAGTATCTAGTAGATAGCAAGTACTCAAAAATATGTTTTGAATGAATATATCATTTAGGTCTGACTGTGCTATTTGCTGCCAACTTTAAATATGTTGCTTAAATCTTAATGTTCATCAGTTTCCTCATCAGTAAACTGCTATGTCAAAGTAACATTTTACACCCACTTCTTGGGAGGATAACAAAGCTAAAATGAGGTCTCAAATGTCAAAGCATTTGACAAGCTAGAGGAAAGTAGGTGGTGGGTTATGGCTTAGGCCTTTTGTCCTTGTGAACAACCTGAATGACAGCATATGTGAGAGATTTACTTCCTCTCTAGATACCTCCTTGAGGAATTAAGCCCCAGTTATTTATTTTCTTCTATATTCTGACATATCTTAACATTAAATTTTATATTGCTAGCTGTTTCTGGAAAATTGTATCATCTCCTATTACATTTACATTTTTATGTAAACAGCACACTTGTTAAGGGTGAGAACAATTTTTTTTTTTCTGCAGTCACCAGATCCTGTCTTACAATGTCAAGCACGTGGAAAGTGCTTAGTAAATCCTTAAGTTTATCATGATATGGAGGACTTAGAATTGTGGCGAAGGGAGATATGCTTGACTTTATGAGGAATAGGAAATAATTGCTGGTTATTTTAAGCAGAGAAATACGAATCATATTTAAATAAGCTAAATTTGATTATCTGAAGCATGTAATTTTAGCAGGAATTAATTTGACTCTGCCATAACATTCGAGAGCAAGAAATGGAAGGAAGTTCTGAAACATATTTTAACATGGATGAACCTTGAAGGTATTGTGCTAAGTGAAATAAGTCAGTCACAGAAAGACAAATATTGTATTTAATTTATATAAGATTTCTAGAGTAGTCAATTCATAGAAACAGACAATGGTGTTTGCTAGGGGCAAGAGAGATGGGTAAAAGGGAATTGCTTAATAGATATATTGTAGAGTTTCAGTTTCACAGAATGAAAAAGTTCTGGAGACTGGTTGCCTAACAATGTGAAAATACTCAACGCTACTGGATCGTATACTTGAAAATGTCCAATTTTATATTACGAGTATTTTGTCACAATTAAAAAACAAATGAATAAACAAAAACATGTCCCACTGACTCAGTATATTTATTCCCCAGTCTGATTCTCTTAAGATTTTTCCCAATCTCAGTAACTGCCACTAACCGGACACCCAGACAGAAAAGTGGGCATTAATTAGAAATTTTCTCTTGGCCTCGCTCTCTTTCTCAATCTAATCACCAGGCTTTTTGACTTTATCTTCTTCACACCTCTTTAGACACCTTTCACTCTATCCCCTTTACGGGTGGGTATCCTTGTATACTCTGGCTCAAGTGGTTGCCGTTACTCTTTCCTAACTCTCCTCCTTGCTCAAAATCTTACTGCATTTAAAATATTGTCTACTTCTTTTTTCTAAACTCCAGATATATACAACTTACTTCCACTTTAAAAAATACTTCCATAGTTCTCCCTTGGCTGCTACTATTTAGAATAAAAAATAAGACTCACTCTGATCTAGTCCCTTCCTTTCTAGTTCCTATCTCCTGTTTCTTCTGGGTCTCCCTTCATACAATACACTGCAGCTATACTAAACTGTTTATAGTTCCAAAGAACATGTTGTATGGTTTCATGACTCTGCAGTTTTGTTCATGCTGCTCTTTTAGCCTGGACTCCCAGAAATGCTCCTCCCCATCCTGAACACCTGTGAACACCTGGTTTTCTTTGAAGGCAACTCAAAATTCATGTCCTGTATGAAACTCTGACCACTTCCCTTTTTACTTTACCCAGTCAGAATTTATTTTTTCTCATTTGTAAGTCTCATACATTAAAAAGATTATCACTTCTGTAACATTTTATTGCACTGGCTTGTTTTGTATGTATGGGTCCTTTTAATTCAGATTCTTTTGAAAGCAAGATTGTGGCTTATTTCTCTTTATATCCTCAATGCCCGGCACAGTGTCTGGAATATCATGCAAGTCCATTAAAAGTTGGTTGACTATGATATTTATTATACAGATATGAACTGAACATCTGTTCAACAATTATTGAACACCTGCTATGTTCTAGTGTTGGGAATACCAGGCCTCTAATCCATGATCTAGCAGAATAGATATGTTAAGAAAAACAAGTATGTTAAAACTTAGCCCATGATATGGCAAGTATTTAGCGGAGGTATCAACTGAGTGTTGCAAGTTGTGGAGCTGAGGGGAGGACAGGGTGATGGTAGTAGCAGTGGTGACTTAGGAAAATTCTGACATAGAAGTTATCATTAGAATGATTATTTTTGCTATGAGTTTTCCAGGCATAAATTCTTTGTGGATCAGTGAATGTATTTTATTTACCGCATGTCTTTGGAACTTAGCACAGTGATTATACTTAGTAAGTGCTTAATACTACTAGTTGAATGAATTGAACCCATGAAACATTCTGAGCTCTATCTGTTGACTTCCTTGTGCAGGTATGTAATGTTCCTGGCTGGGAATAGCTGGAGAGAAACTGAGCAAATCGTGAAGGACTTTGGTGCCATTTTAAGGAGTCTGGCTGTATCCTGTAGACAACTGAGCCAGGAGAGGCTTTTAGGCAAGAAAATAGTACCAGATTAGTTTAAACTGGATTGGAAGAGATGGAAAGCTGGGAAATGATGGGGATCACTGTAATTGTTCAACTGAGTGAAAGTGGTGTGTTAAGGCAGTGACAACAAAAATGCAAAAAGGGGCTGGATGATTAGATAAAGATGTGGTACGTATACACAACAGACTATTACTCAGGCATAAGAGATGAAATACTGCCATTTGTGACAACACGGATGGACCTTAAGATAATAATGCTAATCAAAATAAGCCAGACGGAAAAAGTTGAAAACCATATGATATCACTTATATGTGGGATATAAACCTAAAAGCAACAAATGAACAGGTCAAACAGAGACTCATGGACATAGACAATAGAGTAGTAGTTACCAGAGGACAGGGGAAAGTGGGGAGAGGGAAGCTAGATGGAGTAAAATGGGTCAAATATGTGGCGACAAAAAGAAATCTAACTATGGGTGGTGAACACACAATGCAATATATATATATGACTTACTGTTTAATTGTATACCTAAAACTTACTGGATTTCGTTAACCATTGTCACCATAATAATACTAATAATAAATTTGTGTTTTAAACCACTAAAAAAAAAAAAAAGATTTTTGAAGTAGACAAAGATTTATTGACGAGAGAAGAGCGTGAAGACAGAGAAAGTGAAAATGAGACTCGTAGGTTTGTTATTCAGCCTGTGTGCAACAACGTATCTGACAACAATCTATAAACTACAAAACATTACAGTTGGTTATCTTTGGCTGCTCTGAGTTTAGTCCGGGAAAAGTGGCTGTACTTCTAAAGAGATGTGTTCATTTCCAGGGAAGATATCAAACTTTGAATTCTCAGGGGCATGAAAAAGGTAATCTGAGCAGACAGTGAGAGAAAAAGAACATAGTTCAGCTAGTACCTAAGCAGCTCTTTCTGTCCCTGAATTTTCGAGGAACTCCGGAACCACCAAGCCTCGCTGACTTCTTCCCAACCCTCAGCATTATTCCGCGAGCGGGATCTTGGCGCAAGCCAATCATGATTCCCTTACGTCATCATCGCGCGCAGCCACTGGGCAAGTAAGACGCGGCACCGCGTGCACTGTGTTGATTGTCAAAGTCTCAGGGAGCCCCATTTCCGGAAGCCGTGAGTTCTGAGAAAAGTTCCTGTTCTTGAGTGCCCAAGTCTGCGAATCCCCAACTATGAGCGCCCTGGGCGTGCAGTCCTTTACCCAACAGGGCTGGGAGCAGGTGCTGGCCAAGGTGAAACGAGCTCTGGTCTACCTGGACGCCGCCTGTGCTGAAAGCCTGCACTGGGGCTGCGGATCTACCCGGCTCCTGGAGGCTGTGGGGGGACCTGCGTGTCACCTGCGGGAGTTCGAGCCCGCAGCAGTTGCTGGCGGAGCTAAGCAGCCCAAGGCAGTGTTTGTGCTGAGCTGCCTACTGAAAGGCCGAACCGTGGAAACTCTACGGAACATCATCTGCCGCAGTCACTTCCAATACTGTGTAGTGGTCACGGCCACGAACCATGCTGTCCACCTCACTGCTAATCATGTTCCAGCAGCGGCAGCAGCCGAGCTGGAGGGGCAGCAGCCCGTATTCGAGCAACTGGAGGAGAAGCTGTGTGAGTGGATGGGCAGCATGAACTATACCGCCGAGGTACTTCACGTCCCATTGTTGCTCGCCCCTGTTAGTCCCTACCTTGCCTTGACTCCAGCCTTTGCTTGCCTTTTCCCGCTGCTTCCCCAAGATGTGGATCTCCTTAACAGTGCTCGGCTGGACAAGAAGAGGATGGGAAGCTTGGGTGAGGTGGATTCCACTGCTTTGACCCCTGAGCTGCTACTGCAGATCAGGTGCCTGGTGTCAGGCCTCAGTTCTCTGTGTGAACATTTAGGTGTTCGGGAGGAGTGTTTTGCTGTAGGTTCCCTCAGTCGGATCATCGCTGCAGATCTGGCCAATTATGCCCCTGCCAAGAACAGGAGAAAGACTTCCACAAGCAGGGCATCAGTGGTGTTTGTGGACAGAACTCTGGATCTCACAGGTAGGTGAGATTACTGTGGAGATTTTCATAACCAGTTTCGAGACTTACACTGATTCAGCATATATTTTATTAACCTCTTAGAATATGTCAGGTTGAGAATACTAAGATGGACATAGTCCCAGATCTCACAGAGTTTCTAGTCTAGAGGGAGATACAGACAAGCAAATTAGCAAGTACAATCAATTTGGTAAATGCTGTAATGGATAAAAATACATGTACATGCACTGCCTTATTAAACAATAACAACTGCATCTAGCCCAAGGGAATGGAAAAATGTAACTATGCTGATATTGAGAACTGTCTACTTGAGAACCTTTCAGAAATGTGCGGATGCCAGTATTTCGAACAGTCCTTCAGAAGAGGCCTCTAATTTGTTAGAGAGGTGTTAACAGATGACCTAGTGGAAGGAAACTGTGACAAAACATGAAATAGAGAGTTGAGTTTTAGGTTTCTTTAAAGGAGTATTAAAAAATGTATGTCCATTCCAGGCTTAGTTTAAAGATACAATTCACTTAGAGACTTTGACCCCTCTAGATCTCAGGGTCACTTATAGTCACTAGATATTCATTCAGCAAGTATTTAATGTGGTGGCGCTCATAGTCTGAGTGCTGGGGAGACAACCATAAATCATAGACAAATAACATGTGGTTCCTTCCAGGCCTAAGCAAAGAATATTCTACTGATTATAGAGAAACTCTTTTCTTTAACAGCAGAAGTCACCTCAGAAGCAATCATGCTATCTCTGTCTTAAGTCACTTCTATGAGCCTGATTTTTTTTTTTTTTTTTTTTTAAATAAAGAGTGTAGTTTTTGGAATTATCTGCCTCCTGAGTTTGAATTCTTGCTTGGTAATTTACAAGTTGTATAGTCTGGAGCAAGTTATTTTAACTGACTCTTCTACTCTATAAATGAGCATAATAATACCTATCAGGGTTTTTGTAAGAATTAAGCGGATAATAAGTGTACATACAATATGGAGCTTAAAAACTGGTACGTCATAAGCTCTCAATAAATATTAGCTATTGTGATGAAGATAATGACGGTGATAATGATGATTCCTTGAATTACTGGTTTGATCTTTTGTACGTAGTTCTTCTGTCCATTTAACATGACAAGGCAAAAAGCAATAGTGAGACAGAGATAGAGATAGAGATAGACATTAGGATGCCAAATGTTATTTGATTTGAAGTGGATGGGATCAAAACAATAAAATGTGCCAAGTCCCACCCATTGTTGGAATGAGATCTTCCAAGCAATGATGGCTTTTTGAAAGATAACTTGGTTTCATGGAAAGTATTGAACTGTTGTTGATCTTGAATTTCAATTTGAGTTCATTAATTCTTTTGTTATTAAAAGAGTTAATACATGTGAAGTACCTGGAGCAGTTCCTGATACACAAAAAGCACTCTATATATACCTCTATCACTGCAAACTGTTACTATTCATTCATTTATTTTTTCCTTCATCTACAAAATATTTAGTGAGAGCCACTCGTTGCCAAGTTGTCTACTAGAAGACATGAGGGGTGCAAGATGAACTAGATAAACACTTGCCTTTATGAAGTTGGAGGTCTAGCAGAGAGAAGATCTGCTATTCTGTGCAGGTCTCTAAGCTCTTCTGGGTCTTTAGGTCTTCACCAGTAAAAATTTGGCTCTAAAGTTTGGGATATTATTATCCTATGACACTTTACCTGGATAACTATATGCTAATAATTTATTTATTCATTCAATATTTACTGATACCTATGAAGGCAGTGTGCTAGGTGCTGGGAATATAGTAGTAACCAGAGCAGACACAGGGCCTGCCCTCATGGAGCATTAAGTCCAAAACATAAGGCATACGTTGACTAGGTAATTGTGAGCTTGGTTAGTGTTACAGAGGGCAAACTGCTAGGCACTGTGTTATTGATTTTGTATCAGAAAATAAACACGTAAGTTATTTTTGATATAAAGGCTGTTATAAAACATTAATCCACCTTTTTTTTTCCCCCTCACATTTTGTGAGTTCATATTTTCTGTCTGTTTTAAACAGGAACGGTTGGACATCATGGGGACAACTTAGTAGAGAAGATCATTTCAGTGCTTCCCCAGCTTCCTGGCCACACCAATGACGTGATGGTTAACATGGTAGAGCTCACCGCACTGCAGAATGAGGAGAAACAGAATATGATTGCACCAGGCTGTCTCGCCCAATCCAAGTAGGATATGTAGTTTTTCTCTTTCTCTCTTATCCTGCTCCCTCTTCCCTTTTCTTTCTCTCCTAGAATATTTTGTAGAAAGGAAAACAAGAAAGCGTTGTTCTGGTTGAAAAATGCATAGTAGATAGCATTAAAAAAAAAAGCATTTTTCCTTAACTTTGAAATAACCATATTCATTAAACAATAAGCCAACAAGTATGGAATTTTATAGAGGTGTTATTTATTTATTCATTCGTTTATTTATTTATTAAACTAAGTTTATTGGGGTAACATTGGTTAATACAATCATATAATTTTCAGGTCTACATTATCATTTGACATCAGTATATTCTATTGTGTGTTCACCACCCAAAGTCCAGTTTCCTTCAGCTACCATATATTTGATCCCATTTACTCACTTCACCCTCCCCCTAGCCCCTTATACTGGACCCTCTTTACCCCTCCTTCCCCACCCTACTAGTAACCACTACTCTATACTCCTCTGGTAACCACTAATCTATAGTTCATATCTATGAGTCTCTGTTTGTTTGTCTTGTTCATTTGTTGCTTTTAGGTTTATATCCCACATTTAAGTGATATCATGTGGTTTTCAACTTTTTCTGTCTGGATTATTTCACTTAGCATGATTATCTCGTGTTCCATCCATGTTGTCGCAAATGGCAGTATTTCATCTCTTCTTATGGCTGAGTAATAATATTCCATTGTATGTATGTACCACAGCTTCTTTAGCCAATCATCGATCATAGGACACTTCAATTGCTTCCATGTCCTGACTACTGTAAATAATGCTGCTATGAACATTGGTGTGCAAATTTCTTTTCGGATATGAGTTTTCAAGTCCTTGGGGTAAATACCTAGTAGAGGGATTGCTGGATTATATGGTAGATCAATTCTTAGTTTTTTGAGGAATCTCCATACTGTTTTCCATAGTGGCTGTACCAATTCGCAGTCCCACCAGCAGTGTATGAGGGTTCCTATTTCTCCACATCCTTTCCAACACTTGTTATTACTTGTCCTGTTGATTGTAGCCATTCTAACAGGTGTGAGATGGTATCTCATTGTGGTTTTGATTTACATTTCCCTAATAGCTAGTGATGTTGAGCATCTTTTCATATATTTGTTAACCATTTGTATGTCATCTAGGGAGAAGTATCTGTTCAGGTCCTCTGCCCATTTTTATTAATTGTGATTTTTATACCCATTTTATCTCCCTTTAAGGTAAT